TGGCTTTTTCTATTCTTATTTTGATTTCTGCTGAGCTATCGTTGTCTTCATTTATAAAAGTGTCTAAATATTTGTATTTGCTAACTCGATCGATAATTTCATTGTGTAAATATAAATTTTGGATATTTTGTGTTGATTTCGATATTACCATAAATTTAGTTTCCTTTATGTTCAAAGATAGTCCATATTCTTCGCTGCAGTCTGCTATCTAATTCAACAATGTCTGTAGCTCTTCAAGTGTTTCTGCGGTCAGAACGGTGTCGACGGCAAATCTCAGATTGTTTAATTTAACACCATTTATTTTAATAACTACGGATTGCTCAGAGAGTGTTCTATTGAATTCTATTTAATTCTATTATATTAAGGATTTCCGTTGGTAATTCATCTGGACCTGGGGCTTTGCCATTACCTGCTGGTATATTTATTTTATTTAGTATTTTGTTAACTATTACCTTTATTAAAGACATTTTATACCAAAATTCAAAAATATTGATGTTTTTGTCTAATTTTCTTTTGTTGCCTGGAGCAATTGCGATAAATCTGAATTATGTGGTTGATTCGTAAAATGCGATATCTCGAAAACTATTGAGTTTTGTAGTTATTAACAAGTATACCTTTTTTTTGTTAAAATAATGAATCTTTAATATTTTTATCACAAAAACCGGTAACTTAAAGAACAACAAAGTTAAGTGCAAATGTATGCCACATATGTGGCGCGATCTATCAGCTACAATAAAGTATGTAGCAAATTATAATTCCTGATGGTAAATAGTACTCATGAATTATTATAAATAAGTGTTTAAAAACATAAAAATTATAGCGAAAATTAAAAGTTTAAATTTTTACTTTAATACTCTGTACTGTTCTTAATATTAACATTTTATTAAAGCCATTTGGCTTAAATCGTAAAGTGTATAATCTTAGTAAGGACCACCCTGTATATTCGTATATAATATCATAAGAGGGAAAATTTTGCTGGCAATATTTTCGACTGGGAAAGGTTTTTGAATGGCAATTTCCGCGAATTAAATTTTGACAGTTAAATCACGAACTTCAGTCGAGTGTTTTTGTCAACATTTCATAAGCTAAAATTCCCAAAAGGCAACAAACTTGAATAAAACCAGAAAAAAATTTTGCCGGTAAATAATTTTCTCTGGAACGATATTCGACAAGACTATTTTTTCACGAGACAATTAATGCACCATATCAACGAAACATTAATCTTTATTTATTTGTAAATAATATTAAATGTACAATCATTATAAGCTATAGTAGTGTGCCCATTTTTTTCTACCAAATCATAATTTTATGTAATATTGACCTGTAGCCTTTGGGAACTGCTGCATTTGTTGTTCTGAGATGTTTGATCAACTTATGGTGGTGACTGACACAGCTGAAGATCGATAAGAATAGTTTGTTGTTTTATGTTTTTTGTGTCTATTCCAATGTTTTCAGTGTTAATATCAAGTAGACAGTTCTTGAACCAAGATACTTCCTTCCAGTTGAAGTGAACATTAAGAAAGAGTCTGTCTGATAAAATATTTGGTCTTCTTTTTCCATTAATTTTAAAAATAATCTAACTGGGCATAAAAACTGTTTTTGTGCTCCATCGGTGGTTTCCTCGTCGTAGGGAAAAGGGATAATTAATGCCGTACTCCGTAAAATATTTTTCTGGTACCATTTTTGGTGTAGTATTCCACATTGACTTTACAGAAGACTCCTTACAGTCTTTGCCTTTGCCTTTTTTCATATGAAAAGTATAATCCTCGAGAATTTTTGCTAGTTCCGTTATTAGTACATCTTTCAAGCATAAAACTTCTCACCCAAAAATTGGGTCCAAATAGAGCTTCTGGACCTCTGCGTGGTCAATAGGACATTTTCCGAAATACATTTTTTGATTTCTGTACCTGACGTGCACACAAATATTGATTTTTCGTCTGTATTCATTATATCTGTCCAAAATTGATTACGTCTCAATGACGTTTGTCAAACTGACAACAATAGAATTACCAGACATCTTCGTGACGGATCTGCCATAACTTTGTCGCTGAGAAATCACAAGCAGGAAGGAGTTTTGTTACTAGGAAACGTGGCGTTGCTATGACGGCTTATCAGTTTAAAATAGTCTAGTGAAATAGTCAATAATAAAACTGTGTATATTTGGTCTATTCTTCCTGATCTCAGTTAATTGTTTATTTCCCAACAGTGAATACTGTCACATGCTTTTCAAAGTCAATAAGACGATGTACCTACATCTATATATCCTACTCTATTTGAGTGTCCTAAAATTATTTTCATAGATATAAGATAAGGCCATTACATGTTTCCTTGCTTGCTATTTGCTCGAAAGGAAAATAAAAAAACGATTAACAATCGAGTAGTATTTAGCTCACAACGTAAAAAATTTTATTAATATTTCTTAGAGTTTTTAGCAATAGAAATTAGAAGTTTGTAGCTTCAAATATTTACAGATTTTTAGGAAAAAAAATGTTTATTGCAAATAACCAGTTTTACAAATAAACAGCTAAAATAAAAAACAACCATATTAACTTCAATAACAAACATGCAGGATTTATTCATGAAAATAAAACCTACATTTTTAATCATATAAAGCAAATGTTTAAATGAAACAAAAAATAGAAGACTTATACTCAAACGAAAAAGCAGTCATTTTTTGGAATTTTTGCAATTTTCCAAACCATCAATGGTTTCCTCTGGTGAGGTAAAATCTTCCTTCAAGTATTCTTGGTAAAAAAATTCAGGGAGGCTTCTCCAGTTTTCCCGTGTTTGGAAAGAAGACTATTAATAGTTCCTTTATATCCCTATATTTCTTTTTTCTAGTGGTAATTTCTCAGGAGCCATTGAAGAAAGAAAAACATTTTTCTTACAAAAGCCTTTGGCTTTTCCAATGTTATTGCAGTAAATGGGTTCAGCTTAAACTAGAACATTTTTGTATTTTTATACAAAATAAAACGCTTTATTTTATTAAAATCAAAGTGCAACGAACTAGACAGATTAATAACTCGTTTTGTTTGTGTTCTTCAATCAAATACATCCCAAGACATAACCATATTCCGTACAGTTGAATGTTTTTTGATTAAATCGTCGTATTCACTAATTTCCACGAAAATAGGCATTTTTTCCACGAAATAAAGTAATGACCTATATATAATGGCTAACCACCCCAGTGTGGGGTTAAACCGCAAATGCTTTCTAGATCCTATTTCTTAAGTGGATCAGTCTTTTTTGTTTATCTTATCTTCTCTTGACAATATCTCTCCATTTTTTCCTGTCTCTAGTTCTACCTCTCCATTCTCTGACTCCTGCCCTTTGGAGGTCTTCTTCAACTTCTTGCAGCCACTTTGATCTCGGTCTTCCCCTTCTCTTTCTTCCTCCTGCATTCCATTCTATCATTGCGTATGTCACTGCCTCATCGCCTGCTCGCCAAATGTGACCTAACCATCTAACTCTGCATTGCTTTATTTTAGTTACGATGTCTTCCTTAAGTTCTTTCTTAATTTCTGCATTTGTTCTGCTTCTATATTCATTTTGCTCTGTTTTGATTGGTCCTAGTATGGTTCTCATAATCTTTCTCTCTGCTATTTTTAAGTCTTCTTCATCTTTTTTAACCATCGTCATTGTTTCTCCTGCATATAATATTGGTCTAATTATGGTGTTATAAATGCTCATCTTACTTTTTTTAGTCAGTGTTTTGCTTTTAAGTAATCTTTTGTTTGCAAAATAAGTTTTATTCGCTGCTAATATTTTTTCTTTTATTTCGGATTTCCTTTCTCCGGATTTACTTATTGTAACTCCTAGGTATTTGAAGTATTCTACTTCTTCAAACTCAGAACTTCCTATTTTGATCTTTTCTTTCATTGATTTTTTCCCTAATCTTAATATTTTTGTCTTTTCTTGATTTAATCTTAGCCCCATTACCTCCCCTTTCTCTCTTATTTCTTCTAGCATGGAATGACCTACGATCCGAAAATTAATTCAATTTTTTTTTGTCCTCTGCGAACAATTAATCTGTTTCTATGCTGAAATCAAAATTTGTAGCATATTTCAAAGCTAATGCTATTGTATTTAGAATCTTTTCAAGAGTCAATTTTTGTTTACAAGTAAGAAAACATTTCTTGGTTATAGTTGATCTGCAGAAGTTCCAGCAATATTTGTAAAATTATTATAGTTTATTTGCTGGCTGAAATATGCTGCTTGATCGGGCAGTCTAGGCAGTGCCAAGTTTTTTTAGCACTCAAATGAAAAGTAAGTTGTGTTGAGTTTTGGATTTTTAAAGAGCTAGAAAAAAGCCTTGGCTTTTACAATATGAATGCCATACTCAGCGGCTACCTTTTGTTGAACAGCTGAAGAAGTTGCTACTTTCAACTGTTCCTTTGTTCTCAAGCAAGTAGAGCAACAGTCAGTCAGCGGAGTTCCCAAATCAACGTTGCAGGTAACATTCACATAATTTCGAAAATAAATAACGTTGACCTAAGCTCTGAAGACAGCTTTGTAAGCCGAAAGCGCTCAGCTAGGAAATAAATGTTTACACACTTTAAAATAATGTTCTTTTCCATTTTTTGATCTAAATTTGAGAAATTATACAGAAGGTCCTGTTGAAAAAAATGTATGTTAGCTTTACCACGTAATTATCAACCACCCTATAGAATTCAGCATATTTTTAAGACTGGAAAATATTGTTGCCTATATTTACTATGCATACCATAATGAAATTATCGACCAATGTCGCACTATAAATTTACCCTGTATATATCTAAAACCAAGTCTAGGTAATTGTAATTTTTTTTTGTTTATATATTATTATTTGTATTATATCTTGGACAAAAACTTCTTCTTACGTTCACTCTTATTTGACGCTAAGTTATTATAATAGTTTATTAATATTTTCTTATCTTTTACCTCTTATTGTTATTGCTAGTAATCGGCACACCTCCCAACTAAAAAAAACACAGAGTAAACATATTTGGTATTTAAATTTATGAAAAAATAAATCTAGCTTTTACTGTATCTATTAATCTACACATATAATTTTAGATATCATAACCTTCTTTTAAACGGATGCTATAGGGTACATTGTGTATGGAATTATCATTGCACACTCTTTTTTCCTCCAGTATCTGGTCCACCAATTTTTTTCTGTATTTTTTAAACTTTTGCTCGCGGACAAACCATTTAAAAGCTTTTCTAGTATTCGGAATATGTCTGTTTATAAAACCTAGCACCCTAAAACAGTTTGATAGTTACAGATCTATTTTAAAGACATATGACACAAATAAAAATTAAGAGCTTATAGGCATAAATATAAGGTGATCAAGTTCGAACACGGCATAAGACAAGAAGAAAGCATTAAAAATTACGAAAAACATTGTAAATACTCCTTTTCCTCAGTTCTTCATCATTCGTAAGGATGTGGTGACTTTGTTGTATTTGACGAATGATTTTTATACATTCTTCTCTCTTTTGTGCCTGTTGTGCTGCCACAGAGAGAAAGGTGATCATGTTCGAACACGGCATGAGACAAGAGGAAAGCAGTAACAATTACGAAGAAGATTGTAAATACTCCTTTTTCTATGTTCTTCATTATTCGTAAGAATGTGGTGACTTTATAGTATTTGACGAATGGTTTCTATACATTTGTTTCTCTTTTGTGCATGTTGTGCTGCCTCAGAGAGAGACATAGTTGAAGTTTCTCTAGTTTTTTTTACCATCTACTTTTCCTTCAACCACACATCTTTCCATACCTTTCCTTCGTCTGGCTATGTGTCCAAAACACCTTAATGTATTTTGTTCTGAAGATATTTTCTTGTGGCATTTTAAAGTAATTACTATTTAAATCAGAATAAGCCACAATTAAAGTTATTATTATTAAAGATTTTCGAAGTGGAAATTGAAACGTCAATAAACGTACCTTAAACTTTAATTGTGGCTTATTCCCATTTAAATGGTAATTACTTTAATGTATTTTGGTTTTTGATTGTAGTAATCTTAGTGATGAAGTCGAGTTCTGTTAATATTGAGATATTTGTGCGATGCTTGTAGGATATGCGCATAATTTTACCATAAGCCCATATTCCAAAGGCCCTTATACATTGTGAGTCAGACTTTTTGATGGTCTAAGTTTCTTCAGCGTAGGTAGCGATAGCAAGGGTCTAGCTCTTTTTTTTCTTTTCGAACTTAAATTTACGCTTCTTCTCTGTATTGGTCAAACCAGTAAACTGCTTCAAATCAGAATTATGTCATGTAAAATATCAAAAGTTTAAAAACCGAACAAAACAAAAAGAAGAGGGAGATATACGAATCAATGGAAATAAAAAGAATCTAAATAAAATACAATTAAATTTTACTTAAATAATAATTAATATAACACCATAAAAAACCTTTAAAGCTATAACATATCTCCACTTAACATTTTTCGAACTCACCAACGATACGCCCATGTAAAAATAATTATATAATAATGACAGTAAATCATGAGAAATCAGATATCAATTTTTACGCTTTATCAATTTCGTTAATAACCCCCTCTGTGGCCGTGGTAAGAGCGCCTACCTTTAAACCTAAAGGTCGTGAGTTCGAATCTCATCTGGTTGGAGAAATTTTCGTTTATTAAAAATTAATGAATGAAAATAATTTCTATCCTTGTGCGATCGGTACTCACCGGAGGGACCGCAGACGTTTGGATACAATTAGCGTCTCTTAGCAAAGACAATGACGTCGACTTTGCTATGTATCAAGACAATTACTCTACACACACACACACACTACACTAGGTACCTGACTGTACCATGCCAATGATCTTAGTTGTCGAGGCATTAACTCAATAATAAAAAAAGTTCGTTAATGTCGGTGTCTCGCTGTACGTTTCTTGTACATTTAAGAATCTTGATCTTGGCAAGGGTTATCTGCCAAAACGATGATTTCAATGGCACAATAAAATCTAGTTCCAAATTTAATTTCATTTATTCATATTAAATGGTATTCCAATTGCCAATGTCTTTAGTAGCAGAAGACAGTAGTGGTACACACGAACACTTTCATTCATTAAATCATTTTACAAATGGATCTACAATGGTGGCTTGCAAGAAGAAAATACAATGTGCAGGATAAAGACGGCATCCAAAGACTACATTTAGAAAAATTATTTGTTTGGATCTTTTTGTTGTTGTTTTGAGATATATTGCCTGTTCTGATAGTCAAAAACCCCTTTGTCGAAATGGAGATGGACTTTTAGATAAACCTCACACCCATTACGAGAAAAAAGTATTTAAATCAGAATGGTAACATTCGAGAGCATGATTCTGTACAAGTATACTCAATGAAATTTATACCTTAGAAAGCAGAGGCGTTAGCAAATTAAATAAATATATATCAGTGCATAAACTACACGTAAAATCAACCTGCAAGTGTAAAAGAGGAAACATTGTAAACCCCCTCCAACTCACCGCTCCGCACTCTTCAATGCGCCGCTCTCGTCAACCCACCATGTCTTATAGTAGCCCCTCATTACTGCCAAAACATCTGACCTATTTATTACAAGAACTGTATGTAAATAATGGAGCAGAAACATTGACCCTTACCAGAAAAGTAACCAATAAAATACAAGTGATACAGAGATCGATGGAGAGGTTCATGCTGAATATATCCCTCAGAGACAGAAGTCTTAAAGACAATAATTTGGAGAAAAAACTGGTGTTTCTGACGCAGTTCAAAGGATTACAACATTGAAATGTAACTGGGTGGGGCATGTTGGCAGATTAAAAGATGAAAGGTGGACGAAGTGAATTCTGGAATGGAGACCTATACACGATGCTTATCGTAATCAAGGACGTCCTCCAACAAGGTGGTCAGATGACATCAAGCGCATTCAGCACAACTGGATTCAGGGTGCTTAAGATAGAATGCATTGGAATTATTTACGGGAGATCTATGTCCAGCAGTGGACTCAAAACGGCTGATGATAATGATGTAAATGATACCGTCAGGAGTTAATACCGTGATTTCAAGAAAGTTTAGATTGAAATGAGTTTTTCGGCTATGTACAATATCCTCTATTCTATTAAATCTATATATTGAACACATTATCCGTCAAGTTTTTAAGAAATGATAAGGTAGAGCAACTAAAAGATAAGGTAAAAACAAAAACTTGCTGACGAAACGGTTATATTGGCGTCTTTAAAATATACAATATAACAAATAATGTTAGGAAAATAACAAAGGAAAATAAATATACAATAACCCAAAGTAATGATCATCGATAACAACCTAACAGACATAAGAAACATGACAAGGTACGAAGTAGTCAGATAATTTATTTACTTAGGCTTCGTCATCATTAACAGTGCAAGTGCGAAGACGAACAGTCAAACTGACAAAAATATGGAAGACCAATGACATTAAAAAAAACGCAACACTACACTTTGTTCGAGCATTAATATTTCCTATCGCCACCTACGCTTCAGAAACATGGGCCATCAAAACTGCCACATATACTGCATGTCGCACAAATAATTGAATACTAGAAGAACTTAACATAAAAACTGGACTCACCACAACTATCAACCAAAATATACGCAAGATATTAAGATATTTTGAATATGTAACTAAAAGAAGGCTCGTAAAAACAACTATGAGTAAAGTGATCTGCAGAGTGCAAATACAAGGCGATATATCACAAGCGATTGAAACATATGCAGGGTTACGGCAGGGAGACGCGCTGGCGTGCCTTCTCTTTAATATAGCGTTAGAAAAGACTATAAGAGATACCGAGTTACACAATAGGGGAACAATCTTTAATAAATCAACGCAGATTATGGCTTACGCTCACGATCTGGATTTGATCGCACGTACTACACGAGGACTTAAAGAGATGACTTCCACCTTCTTGACAGCCGCACAAAATATGGGCCTTAAAATAAACGAGGAAAAAACCAAAATGTTAGCATCTATTCCAAATAACAGAGATAGAGCTAGAAACGCCGAACAAAACTTCAGTATAGACCAATATAATTTTGAGGTAGTAAATAAGTTTACATATTTGGGTTCTCTCATAACAAACGATAATGACACATCTGAAGAAGTTAAACGGAGGGTACTGCTAGCAAACAAATGTTATTTTGGACTAAGCAAGAAGCTAAAAAATAGAAATTTAAGCCAGAAAACCAAACTAATAATATATCGAACACTCATCCTACCAGTGCTGACATATGGGTCAGAAACATGGACCATCTCCAAAACAGACGCAAATCTTCTGCTCGTCTTCGAAAGGAAGATACTAAGAAGAATAATGGGCGCATTCTGTGAGAATGGTATTTGAAGAAGGCGATATAATTTCGAATTGTACGAGAAGTATAAAAAAATAGTAAATGGTAGAGATGTAATATCCTTCATAAAAATAGGTAGGCTTAGATGGGCTGGACATGTGTCAAGAGCAAATGAAAATTACCCACCCAGACGAACTCTATTATCGGTCCCAGTGGGAAATAGGAGTAGAGGCAGACCACGACTGAGATGGAGGGACGGTGTGGACAAGGACGCAAGGGAAATCGGCGCGGCAAATTGGCAACGGTTGGCGATGAACAGAAACGACTGGCGAAATAGACTGGGGAAGGTCAAGGCTCAACTAGATGATGATGATGATGATAACTAAAAGAAGAGGAGGCATGAAACGGATGATAGTTGAAGGCAATATAGAGGAAGAGGAAGATTTCCAGCATGATGGTCTGACCAAAGAAAGGACATGACCGGGTATTCATTCTCCGAAGCAAAACAACACACTCATGAGAAAGATAATTGGGCAGAAATAGTCAAATGAATTATATGAGATTCTGAACCAACCAGATGTAAAATAGAAATTGATAACATCAGTAATAAACAAGTAATTGAAATAAAACACCTGAGAATTACTCTGTCCAGCTATGGAGCTCTGGACAAAGAAGTGAAAGATCAAGTACAAAAAGCAAACAGACTGGCACGATGCCTTTATAACACTATATGGCAAAACAGACACATAAATATAAGATTATCTTATAATATAAGATTCATAAATATAAGACGATCACATTCAAACACGGCATAAGACAAGAAGAAAGCATTAACAATTACGAAAACACTGTTAATCCTCCTCTTCCTCTGTTCTTCATCATTCGTAACGATGTGGTGACTTTATAATATGTACCCGGCTCGTTCAACCTCACCTGGCTCTTGTGGAAAATGAGAGTAGAGTGGTCCCACGAGACGCTCGTCTCGAATACTAGGAATGTAGACCGGTGACTGAGATGACGGAGCATATCTGTGCGTTTCTACCAACTCGACACCTCAAACGACGGCTCTCCACCTCTAATATCCGCCCATTAGTCGCCTCTTACGACGGGCAGGGTCCTCTGGCCCTGGCCGTATTCTTAGGAGCGGCAAAATAGCAAAAGATAAGTCACCAATTGGCAGAAGAAGTATCGGACGACCGCGCAAAAGATGGAGTGACAACCTTCCATAGAGGTATTCATCCGGCAATGAACAATCAGAACTGTTTGTAAAGAGGAAGAAGAAGAAGAAGAAGAAGAAGAAGACCAGTTTATTTTTCATTTTGTTGGGCTGTGTTTTTGATTAATTTCTAAGGTTCAAGTAATTTCTACATGTTCTATCTTTATTATCGTCAAATGATCACAAGTATATCGACACAATTGGAGTTTTTATTTTCTTTTTTAAACTGGCACCACAGAAATTCAACTGATCAGAGGATGAAATTCATAATTAATGTTTTGATAAATACTCACATGCTCCAGGTATTGTCGGCATTGTTCTTAAAAAGCCAGTACCGCGGTATTAACAAGCAATTAACGCGAGTTAAACTTATGATTCGTCTTCTCTCAAATGTCTCTCCAACATTAAAACACGAACCAGGTAACATCTCACACAACTTGATAAAGTGCGTCTTCAAATTGTAAGATGGATGAACCACAATATCTGAAAGTTTTAGTAATTATAATATGCATATTCCCTAGTTCGCTCAAGGTAATCACTAATTAGGATGCTTCTGTCACAACAAGAAATATACGAGGAAAATGCAACGAAACTATAAATTTATTATTTGATTGAAAATGTAAATAAATTTATATTTAAATTAATTCTAATAACTTAAATATTAAAATATCTGTAATGTATCGTACGATCGTAGTGAAAATCGATATTGTATCGTAGAATTAAATAAAAACTTACATTTTTCTGACGTTGCCAATTACCCCAATCAAAAATCTAGTCCCGAGAAAAATTCTAAATTAAAATTAAAATTAAAACCAAACAAAATTTTAAACTTACAATATGGTGGAGATATGTAGATGATGTATTCTTATTATGGCCGCATGGATCATTGTTGGACACATTCCTGAATGATACACACTACCTTTCCTGGATGTTTTAGTTTCTAAGAACGATACTGGGTATGAAACTCAAGTGTATAGAAAACCAACACACGCCAACAGATATCTAAATTACAAATCAAATCACATCAATACTAAAAAGGGAATCACTTACGCGATAGAGACAAAATTACTTGTTTTAACAATTAAATTTAAAGTTTAAATCCAGCGTTTTTGAAGCATATTTCAAATATGTTACATTTGTTACCAAAACTTAAAACAAAAATGCCATGCTATAAGTTTTTAAAGTAAGGCTTTAGTAATCAAAACTTTAGAGTGGTCAGTCAATAAAAGCGATAGGTTGTATTGATCTCATGAAAATCATAAAAAATGGCAAAAACCGCGCTACGTTTATTTATTTAACACCTTTACAAAATTTAAGTTTACTTGCCGCAAAATACAAAAACTAATTATCACTTTTGTTTAAAATTATCTCAGCTACATTTTTTATCTGAAACATTTTTTTTACGGCACGGCGTACAGATTGTTAATCAGTAAATCGTTTTTTTACGTTTTTACTCCCCTACGAGGGAGGTTTTAGAGGGAAGCCCAGGGGTAAACTTGTTTGCACCTTTTTTGGGGTCCCAAAATTAATATTCTCGGCAAAATTCAGCTTATTCGTATGATTTTTAGAGGTTGAGTGAGTGTGCGTTCATAACGAGGCGCCGACCCTCGCTCGGACCATGGGATGGTATCATCTCATCGATTTTAGGTAAAATAAATGCATTATTTTAAATGCGATAGTTCACTGTCAGTGCCATGCTCTAGGCGAGGATACGATACCATGGCCTCCGTTATGAACGCACCCTGACATTCTGGTCTCTGACGACTGGAGTATAAAAGACTTAAACTTCCACATGTCTTACACCGTCAGTCGCTGTGAACACTTCTGGTATCATATTTTACGCATTATGCGATTTTTGGTGTTTTTGTATCATTGATTGGATAACTCTTATCAATTAAAAATATTAAACAAACATTGTGTTTGAATTGTGAAAAAACTTTGGGAAATTTCATTGGTTTTATTGGAAGTGTCTGCGTTAATATATTTTTTTTATTAAATTTTTTATGTTAGAAAAATATTGCTTTTGAATACTTTGTAATATAATTGTATAATTGTTGAAATAAGGAATGAATAAAAGCAATCATAACTTAACGATTATATAGCGATATAATAAATCTGATTATTTCGCCTGATTTAAACTGTAAAAAGCAATTAAAAAGCGTGTTAAAAACTAATCCACAGCATTTTTACTTTTTAGTCATCAGAATCCTTTTATAAAGCTTTTCTGGTTTTATTACAATACAAATACGTCATATGGCTAGCGAGCATGGAAACAATATTACACGTGGAATACAAACAGACCAAGTTGATGTTGTCGAGAGTTCGCTTTAAATTACAAACACTCCCCATGCAACAATATAGGGCGTATTACTGCAAATGCTTTCATTTGTTTATGTCAGCTATTTTCACTTCCACGCGAGTAAATTTTAATGATGGTTTTGCCTAAAAAAATTTCGGGTTTTATTGAAAAGTTGATAAAAAAAATCTTTTGTAGTCAAATTTTAATGTTAAATGTCCTATCCTGACCAATATCAAACAAAATTTAAAGCAAAACCATTACATGACGACCCGACAAAACATTCTATAATGTACATTAGAATAACCATTGTACCGGGTGGTCCAATAAGCCGATATCTCGGCTATATATCAGAAACTATTCATGTTATAACTTTAGGAGAAAAAATTCCGCAGTAAAAGTGGCCAAGAGATATCGCTGAAAATACCTTTCAAGATTCTGGATTAACCGCTAGGGGGCGTAACCTGCGAAGAAAATTTTGAAAGCCAGTTTTTTGGGAAATATGACCAATTATACCAAGTGTTAAATAAGTAAACTAGAAAGAGGCATAAATTCTGCACAAAGTTGTTCGAGTACTTTTTTTTAATTTTTTTTTTTTTTTTCAAATAAAGGGTGGGGGAGAGTGGGAAAGTATTTGTGGATAAATACCTATAACTTTGGTTTAGATCAACCGATTTTAACAAAATTAGTGTCATTAGAAAGAGTGCAGATGAATTAATTTACATCTACTATAAAATAATTGCATTTAGTTTTAATTGTCGTAGGTAGAGGGTACTTTCGAATAGAAAAAATTAAAATTTGTTTTTCTTCAAAATTTTTAATGGAAACACCTTTTGTTGTAAATTATAATGGAATTGGATTAAATTCGTAACAAAATGGCGTAAACCTCATGTTAATAGTTTTTACTGAACTCGAGATATGAATAAAAACGCATAAACATAAGTAAGTATAGTATTGACACACCCTGTATTATAAATGACATTAAAAAATAAGTCAGTAGGTATTTTCAAATTTTTTATAGCAGAAGAATCTTAATGTTGATACCTATTTTGACCATTGTTATTTCATATGATTAAAAATTGTTTTTTCGTTCATATTGAGTTCATATTGTTTATTTATTGACAGCAGTCAAAATATTGTTAAGAAGTGTTATATGTATTATAATTCGAATTGAAAAATTAATTTTTTCCAATAGATATTAATATTGGTAATATTAGTAATTAATTATCAGTACTAATAATTCGTGATGAGTATATCAAATAATTGTATGATATGATTGGAGTTTATTTCGAATATCACCAAAATGGCGCTATTGCCTCACGTATATATTTTGTAAGATATCCTGGCAGGAGACATTGTGGCAAAGAAGTAGAGATTTCCGACTACTTATATGTGGATTCTGTTGAATTAAAGCAAGAACATTGATTGAATTATCTTCGGTCATAACTCTACTACGTCGTTTAAAACAAGGACGAGAAAAACTAAGAGTGTCTCTTAATCTTTTTGCCTTTCTTTCAAATACTTCTTTGCCATAATGTCCCCTGTCAGGATATCTTGTTAAAAGAATTGCACACCCACACAATTTGTACACCTAAGCTTATTCATTGTCGTAAAACTGTCACCTTCATAAAACAAATACTCAACAGATAACACACATTTCATAAATATATCTCTTGAATAAGTATATATTAACTTTTAAATAATACAATGGTATATAACGTCACTTGCATCTAACAAACAATCACATTACACCTATCTCTACTTCATTGGATCAAATCTATCTCCTCAAGAACTTCCAGTTTCTTGTCAAACAACTACAATAGCAGACTTAAGTTCTCCATTCAACAATACATGATAGTTTCAACCCATGTTCAACCATCCATCAATTAATAGAGTACCGGCATGTAAGTAATGTTTATTTATTTGCTCATTTATTAATTTATTACAATCTAATAGCCTATTTTATAACAATTTGTGGGTCTTACCTTGTCTGCTAAAACTTTTTTATACCTTTTTATTCCTTTTTATTCATTTTTAAAAACCACAGACATGTAATATTGGCATAATTATTGTAATTTATACCATCTTATTTGTTTATCTTTACTAGACAACACCCTAATATGGGTTTTTATTATTTCAGCATTTATTTAACTTTGTATTGAGACCTACAGATGCTTTGCATATTGTAGAAAGCAAAACCGGTCGTCTGAATAGTTAAATTAAATTGATTGTGAGTAAGTCTTATTTATTATTTCTTTACCTAATTAAGAAATCATTAATGGAATCTCCGATATACTTAATACCTGAAAATATACACAGCTAATTTGTTCAACGATCTCAGACCACAAAAGGCATCACAATTGGGAGACCATTTAATTGAGCCAAGTATTTGAAAGTTAAGGTTTCACAAACTATCAAAATATTAAAAAGTAACAAAGTCCCAGTGCTAGACGGTATGTATCCAGAAACAATCAACTTACTAAATGAAGAAAATATAGACGTTATTATGAAGCTGTTTAACGATATTGGAACCAGACAGCAATAGTATGTCTTTAAAATTTCAACGAAATGGAAGATTTCTCAATTAAAAAGGAAGAAGGGCAAAGTTGTATACTTTCTTCAATGGTGTTAACTTATACGTAGAAAAAGCCTTCGTTCAAAAGTAGCTGCTTGTAATAAGAGTATTAAAGGAACCGATATATTTATTAACATCATTAGGTATGCCGATGATACAGCGATAGTGGCATATAACATCGAAGATCTTCAATGTCTTTTTAATGATCTAACTCATACAACTGAAGATTTGTTTGAAAATAAATATCAAGAAGACAAAAACAATCAATATAGTTAAAAATGCAATAATTATCCAAATGCAAAGATATATGTAGCTGGAGAAAAAATCGAATTAGTGATAGTTAAGATCCTAACACTGAAATAAGGAGCAGAGTCTACAGATCAGAAATGCCTTTTAGCAACTCCATTTTCATGTTAAAGTATTACGTTTGGCCTTTTCTCTTATACATACTGAAAACATGGAAGTTTAAGGACAGATCCATTACCAACCTCAAAGTTTTAAAATTTGGACATTAGAATATCAGGGAAAGACTGAATCCGAAATGAGAAAGTATCAAGAATAGTTGGCTTCCACGATTATGTTCCCTTCCGGGAACTTTTTGATTATGTCAGAAGTAAGACGACAGCATATTTCAGACAAATAATATAAGGACAACGATGGAATAGGAAATATGCATGATTTCTTATATTAATCATTTAGATCTTTATAATATAGAAAAAAATATAGAAAACTATTTGTCAAAGTGAAATTCAAAACTTTGAATAAATTTTAGCTATTAATTGTTGTCATTTAGCGCGTGCTTTAGCTAATGGCATTGGTTATGTTCGTGTTTGTTTATCAATATATGAGTTTAGATACTTCATCAAATGTACACATATTTCCAGTTTTCAAATCACGAAAGAAGCAAAAAAACCTTCTTACGAGTATTGTATAGTACCTTAGTGCAAACTAAGAGGTTTGAGAACTTAGTGCACTATTAGAAGTACACCTATTCGTATTAAAAACGATGTAAACCTACGAAAACAATGATATAAGATAATGAGAAGCGGTAAGTAGAAAAAAAATACCACTATTCGTAAGTTAATAACTTAAGAGTAAACAAAATGTAAGACCAAGTACTTACCATGTCAGGATAGTATCATAAGGTTGTTTCTTGGTTGTTTTTTTCCTTATGGTTTACTGTGGGATTACTAGCAGGAGAATGTGTTTTCGAAGTGGAAATCGAAACGTCAAACAAACTTATTTTAAAGTAAAATTGTGGCTTATTCCAACAAAAAATAGTAAATTGCATTACAAATAAAAACAACAGAACTCATGGAAATAACAACTGAGGTTAGGCAGGGAGATGCATTAAGCTCAATAATAATTAATCTAATATTAAAGAAATTGATAAAAAAGAAAGCAAGTAAAAAAATGATGATTGACATAAATGTCAATTAGTAAACAAGAAAATAAAGATTCAGCACATCAGTGCTGAACTGATGACCCAGTACTGATAGCGAGGAATGATTGCAAATAATGTTATAGTTAAGATTAAAAAATTGAACATGATAATACTACTACAAAAACAAATAAAATAGTCTACTTGTATAAAAAAAACAATTAGGTGCTAAAAACCTTGAGCTTGGAAAGAACTTGAGACTTGAATTTCAAATGGTACAAAAATATTAAGGAAGAAGTGAAAATACAAATGACAAAAGTAAATATAAAGCAAATAACTTCTTATAAATACTGTACTAAAGTGCTATCACTCTGGTAGTTTTACCTTTAAAAGGACTTTTTTAAAAGATACGTTCGGGAGTGACAACCCTTAAGTAGCAACCCGAACACCGAAATGTCTTAACGACACTATACGAAGTAACGAACGCGCTAACACAGAAACAATATCTGTATATACAAAAAGGGCAAAATTAAAATATACAATTAATGTTAATAGTTACAAAAAAAAGTACAAACCTTTTATAGACCCCGAAAATACACTTAGATCATATTCTGTCTCTAGAATTTCCTCAAATGTTTTAATACTATCCTTAGATATAGCTGTACGGTTTATACTAGCACCACTAGGTCGATTGCTACTAGACCTACTCTTTAGCGCAGCTTTCAGCGAAGATGACTTACGAAAGTCTAATCCGGTTGAACTTTTGGGAGTGACATCAGCAGACGCAGAGGAAAGCTTAAACAAATAATATTGATCGTGCTTTATGTATCTGATAGTGAAAAAAAACACACATTACGTTTTGTGATGCTATTTTAGGTTAATCTTCAACTGGTCCGGTACTATAGAAGTAGCGTAACTGATCCGGTGTAGTCTCCTAAACTATTGTTTCCAAGAATGCAAAACAACACAAAAAAATATTTTTATATTAAAATAAATGTTACTAACATACCCTGATATAGTTATATAAAAATATACGTATTAGATTTAGGCGTTTTTTGGGTTAACAACAAAATATTAAAATGAAATTGAAATCCTTAAAAACATTTGTGGAAAAATAAGTACATAGTTTTGTATTGATCAAAAAAGTTTGTTTCCAGTATCAGTCAAACTTTACCATTTTTATATGCAATTTTTACATAGTGGTTTTGTATATTCCAAACAAACAGGCTTATTACAACGCAATGTCGTACGGCCGTAGCATCCTCTCCGTTATCTGGAGTTTCTGGACGCTCAGCGGCCGCCGCTCTTGAAGATGATCTCGTATTGCGATGATCCATCTTAGTATAGGAGTTGGTACAGATACCGGCTTATTCGTGTAAGAAGCTCTATCGAGCCTCTGCAACAAGCGAGGTGACACCGGCAAACAGAACTCTCTAACAGTTCAAGCTTTATTTCAATGACAAATATATTTCTTACAACGACAATATGTGTTAGAGTTCTATTGCGTGGTATATGCCTCAAAACTGCAGAGATGTTGGTTTCCTTCTTATCAGGAATCGTCGCGTTCTGTCTCCCAGAAAGAGGCACAAAAATGCCAGTTGTATCGGCTCTGCAATAGCCCGTCGCTTTGTACACCACCTTTCGCGTTATCAGTTTTATCAGTGTTTACTAATTACTGAAAAATGCATAAGGTTCAAAGTGTCGAAGCGTCGTCGTGGCTTGACTCGGAGCGGTGAAATCGAATATAAGTCTCAGTCGAGACTTCTCCTCGTATTCACCGTCGTTGTTCGATAAATCGTCTGTGTCAGTTCGACGCAATTGGTAATAGTTCTAAACCTACTGTTTTTCTATTTCAAAAAGCGTATGTTTCTGACAGGGAGCGATTTTACAGCTGATACTCGGCTTTTCGTGCACTGTTGTATAATAGCAGACGACGAATGATGCCTTAGGATATCTTCGACGTCTGGATTGGAAATACTCGCTGATCTTCGAAGTTGGTGTAATCGTTAAAATTCGATGTAGGACGATTTTGGATATTTGGATTAATAATAAAACAAAAGTTTTACTAGGAAGCACCACTAACCAACAAGGTCTAGTAGGGCTCGAAGTGTCTGACGACTGAAGTCCCGATCAAGCAAACAAGCAATTTAATTGAACCCAGCCTATGAGAAATGTTCACCCAGGTAGTACGATCGGGTGTAACAATTCATTGGAGCAAGGTGTGTTAACTCTAGTAAAAACAGGAGTCACCCCACCGTGCTCCAATGCTCTAGACCATCCCTTTCCCCCCTATAGCACTCTGATGCGCTATAGAGGCACAACAATCAGCCAAATGCTCTTCATGTGGAGGTCCTGGGTAATAGAACCCCAACATGGTTTCCTAACCGATTGCAAAAAACTCAGAAGTCCCGATCGGAAGGTGCGCTGCTCTTTTATACGTTTAGTAATTGAGAATTCGCAGCGCTCCTCCGCCGAGAGGCCAATGACAGCGAAGTTAATAACGAGCGCTGTGATTGGCCGGCCAAAGTAACAATCTTTGTCGAGATTGTGTATTTTGGCGACAGCAAATACAGGTATTTTGTCATCCTGCGCTTTCAACTCAGACATAAACTGCAAATCTTGCGTTTTTCTAAAATAAGAACATCCGTTTGATTGTCCTCTTCTTCTTCTTAAACTCCAAGTATCTGGCTAATTGTAATACGTAATTGACGTGGAATGTTCGTCATCATTATTCGTCTTTTCATCTGATCTTGCACTAACTGCATAGCCAACTCCAAAGCAAAAACACTTTATTCTTTGATTACTGGATTATTATCCTGATATATATAGCACTGATATAGAATGTATAAATTTTCTACAGAAATATCCAATACACGGAAAAAAATGTTAAGGGCATATTCTAATTCCTTAGATGAGCATTTCTCATATAAGGAATCTAATAATTCTCCCTTATTCTTATTAAAAGAAATAAATAATGATTTATTAGTAGAGGCATCATTATAACGTCTATTCTGCATTGAAGATTTAAGTACTGTAGCTTTTCCCACTTATCCTATATGAGACATTTAGGAACATTTTTCTCTAATTCCATAAATTTTTGGTATTTCAGCTTTATTCCTTTTCAGAGTGACCACATAAGTCAAATTTTTCTACCGCAACATATCCACTAATTGAATAGAAGAACACCAATTGCTGTGATACAAGCTGAACAGCTGTGAGATTTCCATTGCTACCAAAACGGGTTTCAACTAGGCGCAATACAGCTTGTGTAGGTTTTAGAAGTTTTTTGGAGGAAAAAGATAGGAAGGAATGGAGAAAGTTCGTCAAGAGCTAGGACACCTCAGAAGATTGTAAAATATTGTTATATAAAGAATTGTATTATAAACGGCCCAACACCGAAAGGTACAAATGGGTCTACTGATTAAGTAAGTAAGTAAGTAAAAGTTTTTTGAAATCACTGATACCAAATCCATTTGAGTCTTTTCGGCTGTAAAGCGGAAGCATTATACAAATACCCATTACATGCATAGGTAAGACACTGTATGTGTTTCACTCTGTGAGATTTTGAAGCGAAGCTTCTATACTAGCGTTGTATTACTTTTTTTTTCTACATTAAAATGCTGAGGCGAGTGTCACGGAACTAGCACCACAAGGTGGCGTCGTCACGGGTAGCGTCATACAATAGCGGTTCGTGACATCTCTTCATACTCTTGATCAATTAGTTTCTAGTGATCATATATTTACTCTAAGCAGGTTTAAATTAAAAACTGCATGAAAAATAACTAACAAAATATAGACATTAAATTGTAAAAAATTAAAAGAATATCTGTGACTAAAAGATTTAATAAAATGATTGTCAAAATTAAATACAAGTCATAAATATCTTCCGATTAATAACAACTATTACAACAATTATTATTTTTGAACATATTATTTAGTTTATATACAAAATAAATTTATTATCAAATGATATTTATTTATATTTTATTATTAATATACTTAATGATATTAGAAGTGTTAAACCCAGAAGGAATAATTTTTTGTACTTAATTTTTTGGCAACATGGTAGATTTACATCAATAATGAAACGATAACGTTGTCAAGAATTTTTATTAACAAGTAATAAAAAAAAAATCATTATGTGTTTGGCGACCCCGTGGCTGAATACACTTCTGTATTCGTTTAGGCATTGACAAAATGAGATGAGTGATAAAACACATCCCTGTCTAACTCCTCTACAGATCCTCATTTCTTCCCAGTGTTGCCCATCAATTTGAACTAAGGCACTTTGGTTATAATATAATGTTTGTACTATATTTATGATTTTACCGTCAATGCGCGTGTTCATAAGTATTGATATTAGTTTTTCATGTCTTACTTAATCGAAAGCTTTTTCGTAGTCAACGAAGCACAAGTGTAGATCAACATTTACATCCCGACATCGCTGAATCAATATGTTGATGGCAAATAGTCCTTCTCGAATACTCATTCCATTTTGGAACCCGAACTGCGTCTCGCTAATATCCTTATTGTCTTCAGAGTTTTTGATAGCATATTTGATGTCGTCTATCGTAATCTTCTGTCTCTCTAAAGGATTTAATTCTTGATTTGATTTTCTGCATTTCACCTCTTTTATCTTGGATGAGTTCTCTAACGTACTCTTCCCATCGCCTTAACTTCTCTGGTAAATCTATTAGTAGTACTCCTTTTTTGTCTTTTATGTGCCCTTGCTGTCTATTTCGACCCATTCCAGTCACTTCTCTAATTTTTTTGTGCATATTTCTCATATCATATTTTGTTTCTAGTTCTTCTATTACTTTACATTGCTTCACCAGTTTGATTTTCTTAGCTGATTTGATTTTGTCCTTAATTATTCGTTGTATTTCTTTATACTTCTGTAGATCTTTTCCTTTATACTTTCTTCCATCAATAACAGTATTTCTTCTGTTATCCAGTGTTTTTTAGCGTCTGGCCTATGTTGTCTAACTTTCTTGAGCTAGTTTCAGTAATGTGTTTTTTTATATTATACCACTTTTTATTTACATCCATAATTTGTTCGTTGTCAGTTAGTGTTTTTTTGCATACTAATATTCACATTATTTTCTAATTCGTTTTTTATTTCTTTCTTTTGTAGCATTCTTACGCTAATTTTTGGTTGTTGCTTTCTGAGTTCAATTCTTTTTAATTTTATTTTCACGTCAGCCACTAACGGATTGTGGTCCGAGTTAACATCTGCTTCAGGATAAGTTTTAACAAGGTAATAGAGTTTTATATCTGCTATTTACGAGTATAAAGTCTATCTGGTTTCTGACAATGTGGTTTTCTGTATGTGAAGGAGACGTCCATATATATAGTCTTCTTTTAGGAAGCTGAAACCAAGTATTGGCAATTACCATATTCTTTTCTTGGCAGAATTCCATGAGCTTTTTTCCTCTCTCGTTTCTAGTGCCTAGTCCTAACTATCCAACTATATTTTCAATTGTACCTACTCCAATTTTTGCAGTAAAATCTCCTAAAATGTAAGTAATATCTCTAGATTTTGTTAACTTGCCTCTTAACAGAAAACCCAAAATCTCGTCGCTCTCCACGGTTTCGTCTTACCATCATACGATCATCATGTATTGCAAAACAGAATCGTAATTCATTTCTGAATGCTACATTACGCCACTTTGCCACCCAATGCGGCCGTTCTCTGCACCAATTCAAGCATTGATGACAGTGGTCCGTAGTTAAAGGAAGCACTAGACGTGGGCGGAATAAATCCAGTCCAATGTTTCGAATGCTACGGTAAAGTG